TCTTGCCAACTTTAGATTTCCGTGTCGGTACTTTTAAGATACACTGTTTCTCACACTTTTTGAAGGGTTTGTATGGTTTGTCTTTGGCAGCATTTCTCCTTTTATGCTCTTTCATGTTCATTTTGGTTTTCAAGTCAAAGGGCACTAAGTACTATTTTTATTTTCCTCAAATTTCAAAGTTCTGGTGTTAAGACAGTCCTAGCAAGCTACTTAAATGGTTGTATTGTTTTGAGATTATTGGCACACTTAAATGAAATTAGTGGCAGAGTAATTTTCTACTTACTTTAGATAGAGATAGCTGCTTTTCAGCCTGCATGTGCATTCTTTGCCTCTCTCTTTCAGGAGAGCTTATGAACAGGAAGGGACCAACTTTCATATAGTCTGATAGTAATAGGACAAGAGGGAATGGCTTTAAACAGAAAGAGAGGAGATTTAGATGAGATGTTAGGAGAAATTCTTTACTCAAAGAGAGGTGAGGCACTGGCACTGCTTCCCAGAGAGCTGTCCTTCCATGTTCTTCTCCAGAGTGAAAAATTCATAGTTCTGTCTGTGGTTTTGTTTTCTCTGATCTATAGTAGAGATGCATCTGCAAGCCCTTATAGGAGACAGGTATTTCCTGATCCAGGTGATGCAATGTCAGATGAAATTAAGAGAGTTTATGGCCCCAGTAAGACAGAAATCAGTATCCACTGTCTCCCTGTTTGCATGTGCTTCACACATAGACCGAGTTAGAGTTATTTCTGATGCTGCACTAATGGGTCCCTGGCCTCAAGCACGATGATACTGGTACCATGCTGTGAAGCAGAGTGTCTGTGTGCCATCTTGGTGAAGAAGAATGCCCTGCGGATGGGAGTATATTTCATGCTTTAAGTCAGGACAGCTTTGGCATTGAGTGCTTTAGTATTCTGGTGCAGTGTTGTGCGTTAGCATTACCTGTCCACACTGGGGGGGCACACTGTGCTCCAATCTGCCCTGGAAGATGCATTTAGAAAGCCATATGTGCTTCAGTGTTGAGCACCCGGGAAGGTACACAGCATACACAGCACTGACTGGATGAGTTATGAGCCAGAAGGGATGCTGAGCTGAGAAAACTCATAGCAGGAGGGAAACCAGCTTTCTGGCCATGTCAGCCTCACAGCCACCTCTGCATTTGCTGAAACCCACACACCCAATCCCCTTTAGTTCCTGCTGCTCCAACGGCTCTCCAGGGCTTCAGCTTGCCACCCTCACCTGACACACCCTACAGATTTTCTACAAAACTAAAAGCAAAGAAAAAACATGTTATGTTCCTTATGGCAGTGCCCAAAGGTACTATATCTGAAGATAACATCAACAGAGAGAGCCAGCGCAAGTTCTCTTCACACAAACTATTTCCCAGAGGCTAATGGCAAAGGAGAGAGAAAGAGAGAAACAAGTACTGACAGTTTACTATAGGAACTCAAAGAAAAAGTGGACAAAGCTAAAAGAACTCCAGCTCTTTGTTAGCATCTGATCCAGTTTAGTGCACTTGCTGGTGCATACATTTACTTTCCATGGCTGACGGAGCTGGATATTGTCATTTGGTAAGAAACAGAGGAAATAGATTTAAAATTTGTCACCCTTCAAGCCTCGTACCATCTAGGAAAATCAGTCTGCAACATACATGAAGTCTTAATCTAACATGAAAAGTATGAGCTGCTGGCTAAAACCTCCAGAGGAGCAAATGCTGTTTTCAAAAGATTCAGTGTTTCCTCTTTTTAACACAGACTAAGTGCTGAAGTGAAGGGGTAGAGTGCTTCTTTTGGCTCATGGAAACCACAGGGAAGGCCTCCTGTCCCTACCCAAAGAGTACTTTCAAAAAAAGAGTCCAGGTACCAAATATCACAGTGCAGTGAAATTATCAAATCACCATTACCAACTTTTGCCCAGGACAGATGGTTCAAACCACATGTAGCCTATTTTCTAATGCTGTAGAAGCAAATTAATCTCCAGCTGAATTTGCAAAATACTGCACTGAAAGAAACTGCAAGGAGGATGTATGAATAAGAACAAAACCAACACAAGGGTTTGTGAGTGGGAGGCTGAGAGTCTGGGCTAGAAGAGTCAGAGATGGAAAGGCAAGTTTGATGGCATAGTGCAGTAGGCCCAAGTTAGGCAGTTGTATTTGAGTGATTGTAGCATGTTTCCTCAGAAATACAACCCCAGTAGGTGCCAGTATGGGAGAGTTAGCTAGAACATCTTAGAAAGTATTATGTAAAAAACGACAAAAGCCATCAAAACTCTTTCCCATCTGTCTGTCCCCTGCCCACACCCCCAAGTGTTTTTTGTCACCTAAAAGGGACCCATAGTGCTTGGGCTCAACTAGTATTGGTCAAACTTCCCATCTTCAGGTGAAGCGAGCCCATTTAACTGCCTGTACCCAGCCCCAGATGAGACCAGAAATGCAGTGGCTGGTTGGGATGGCATTTTGTCACCTGGAGCACAAGGCCAGCACATGACACACAGTAGCCTGGTTCTGGACCACTCCAACTGCTTGCTCAGCTCTTTCCAGGGGCACTGCTCATTCTCTCAGAGATCCCTGTCTGTAAGTGGGATGGTAATGGAATAAACCAAAAGGCAATAGAGACTATTTACACTTTAGAAAAAAAAGCTCTACCTGGATAGATGACGTTAGGCCATTCTGCGGTTTGTATTTATGTCTCAAGTCAATTGGGAGGATTTGAATGTTAGAAATATTTTGTTGCAAGTTTGAACATCTGACCAGATAAAAGGCCAGACACTTGAACGCAAGCAGTGATTGAATTAGGACCCAGAAATGTATCCCTGGCTAGTTTCAAATTAAAAAAGGAGAGCTTTTAAAAAGGTACAAATGAGACTGAAAGAATTTATGTTATTTTTCCGGTTACTGTGCTATAACTCCTTTTCCGTCTCCTAATCTATCTTCTAAGCATACTACCTTATGAATGAGTGAGCAATAAAAGAAGTATGCAGTGGTTGAGAGAGAAACTCAAGATAACAAGATAATGCAAAACGTAAGCCAAAGTCTGAGCAGAGCTGCAAGTTAAGATGTAGATCTGAATATAAAAGTTTCTTGCATCTGAGTTTTATGGGCAGCCATTGGGTGGATGGTTTGCCTGGAAATTTAATTTTAAAACAGTAGCACATAATGTGACACAGTACAGGCTAAGTTCACAGCCATCAAAATCTTAGATCTATATTTTCTAGGGGTTTTTTATCCTGGACACATCACTGGATGGACTGAAATAAAACCAAAGCCATTTTAATGCCTTTGAAATCTTTTTTTTTTTTTTTTCCCCTCCACTGAAAAGGGGCAGAGGAAGACCAGTGAATTAACAAAACAGGTACCTACTAACCTAAGGTTAGGTAATAGCAATTCCTGTGCCTCGGTGACATAGGAACAGCCATGAGTAATAAGCTAGTAGAAAGCAGCTGGTGCCTGCATGGTAACTTTTCCTAATGTCTAAAACTGAAAGTGGGGGATTATAGCAAAAGGCTAATTCAGATTTCCATGTCACTGACCTCCTCCTGCCTTCCAGGCTGCCCAGGTTTGGGGCTGCACAGATCTACTGAGAATTCTAGGGAAAAGATATGAGGCCACACCCTGAACACAGATAATCCCCCAGTGGGCTTCCCGCTGCTGCCATCTGCATGGCTAGGCAGAATGCAATCACAATTGTTCTGTTCTCTTTGCAAGCCAACACCAGTGGGAAATTAATTGCTTGAATGATTCTCTCAATTAGTATGTTCTCTAGCATTAACATAGTATAGCCATGAAGTGAGGGCAACTATTGGGCTCAGGACAAACAGCAGGGTCTAAGCTGGCATCCAGTTCTAGTTGGCTGTGACTGGGGCTGGTAAGCAAACAGCAGGAGGGAGAAGATACAGGGATAAAGTTTCAAGGAATATGAAGGATGAAGGGAACACGAAGTTTGTGGCTGTCAAAAGGGAAGTAGTGACAACTCAGTCTTAAACATAAGATGTAACATAGAAGAGAATGTGAGACAGGATGGAGCAAGTCATGATATTAATATTTTGAGAGGCTTTTACATTATTACGGAGGTAGATTTTTATTTCTTTTGTTAACAAGAATCGATGACAAAACATGAATGGAATTCCTTCTCTTTACTCTTACTCCTCATGCTTTAAGACAAAGGCAGTTTTCTTGAAGAGTACCCTGGGCATTTTTTATGCTCCATTATCCATGTGACAGATGGCAAAATGCTCTAAAGCTTCCAGAAAGAACTGGGAAGACTGTATTACACTATACATTAAGCAAAGGCAAATTTAAGGCTATGGTATACTGAAATAGTATTTCCAAAAAGATTTCCAAACTGGAGCACTAACTTGCAACACTTTGAACAGATGATGCCCAACAGAAGGATAAGCATTGATAGCATTTATCTGCTTGTTCCCATCTTGCTCCAGCTTACACCATTTTCAGGTCAAAGCACCCAAGTGTGCTTTATTTTGGAAATCTCTATTTGCAAAAATCAAGGTCTGGTGTCTGTTGCTGAGTTGAAAGGGAATTCTGCATTTGGTATTTTGTGTAAAGTTGCTGTTGTAAAGGTGGGCTTTTCTGCTAGTTCCTTACTTTGCTGCCATATGCAAAAAATTGGAAAACAGACAAATCTGAAGCACAGTACACAGTAAAACTCTTTGGCAAATGAAGGAGAACAAAAGCTGTGGTTAATGAGGATCTCAATTTACCCTTGGCCCATAGGCTATGAAATTAGGCAGTCACCTTCCCTGCTTAACCCACATTGCAAGTGGGGAATTGGCTTTGCATGTAGAGCTCAGCTGACACCTGCAACAGCATCTCCAGGAAAGCAGAACCCACAGCTTTGGTGGGAACCCAGCTTATGTCTGGTGGCAGTTTATGATGGAGAACAAACCCCTCCACATGCATCAGATAACCCTGGCTTTGTTTTTTTTTTTCCACTCTGATTTTTAAAAGTGTCTAGTTTTTATTAAAGCGTTATTCTTTGTTCTTCCAAATCCAGATTCTGGAAGAGAACATGAAGTTAGAGTGCAAATGCCATGGGGTCTCGGGATCCTGTACCACTAAAACGTGCTGGACAACTCTGCCAAAATTCCGGGAGCTGGGCTACATCCTTAAGGACAAATACAACGAAGCAGTTCAAGTGGAGCCAGTGAGAGCAAGTCGCAACAAGCGTCCAACCTTCCTCAAAATAAAGAAGCCACTTTCGTATCGCAAACCCATGGATACAGATTTAGTGTACATAGAAAAATCTCCCAATTATTGTGAAGAAGACCCCGTCACGGGCAGCGTGGGAACACAGGGGAGGATGTGCAACAAGACGGCCCAGCAGTCCAATGGCTGCGACCTGATGTGCTGCGGTCGAGGCTACAACACACACCAGTACTCGAGAGTGTGGCAGTGCAACTGCAAATTTCATTGGTGCTGCTATGTTAAATGTAACACATGCAGTGAAAGAACAGAAGTATATACCTGTAAGTGAGTCCGTGGCTGGACAGGCTGACCGTGTCCCTGCCATGAGTACATTTGCACATGCGCTCAACAAACCTACACAAGACTGTAGCAAAGACCTGCTCTCCCAGAAGAAATGCTGACAAATGGATCCCCATCTTTCCTTCTCACGTTTGTGGATGCATATTTCAGACTTTTAACAAAAATCAGCCGAGAAACAAATCATAAAACCACAAACTCCACTGAGCACCCTGCCACATGAAACAGAGAGATCACATCAATTTATCTGCGCCTCTCTAGCAAAAAAGCAGTGACTGCCTTGTGAAGAGACACCAGAGAAAATTTTCTGACCGCGGCAACGAACTCTCGGTTTGGAAAAAAGGATGGTCAAAAACTTGTGTGTAGAAGGAGCGGGGAGAGTGGGGGACAAACCCTGAGACACGGGCTTTGCACAGGAGGCGATGGACAGTGCCCCGCTGTGACTCGCCCATGTGAGCGTGCGGATGATACAGATGTAGGCTTCTACACGTGTGAAAAGCTTCTGCTGGTCTTGCCCATCCTTCCACTTCATAACATTTGCTACAGCGAGTAGAACTGTTGAAATTTTCTGTAGACACTGCTTTATCTGCCTTTTGTGTGCGTGTGCGTGCTGCAGATTTAGCACAGGGATTTGGGACACTTGGGACATAATAATAGCAATATTTAACAATTTATTCAGATAAAACTAATATTAATTTATTTAATTAAAAAGAACTCTACCGACATTTTTGGAACTATTCTGCAATTAAAGTAGATAGCTTGCTTTCTTTGTGGAATAATTTTCTAGAAACAGCAAGGTAAAACTGGAGCTGTATATATCATTCTTTCCTAGGATATTTCTAATAGTTGGACTTGCAGGATGTGTTCTACCGTACTAGATGTTTAAGTACAAAAGTTGGCATTTTATATATATATATGTACATACACAAACACACTGAATTTTTCCTTTTTTTTCCTTTTTTTTTTTTTTCTTCCCCTGTTTGCTGCTAGTTGTCTGGAACAAAAGGTAGTGGTAAGGGTTGCAAATCTTTACCAGATTGGTTTTTTTTTTTTTTTTTTTTTTCCTTCAATTAAAGAAAGAAACATTAATAAAATCCTGTTTGAAATATGTCTAAAAATAAGAAACTCCAGACAAACTTCCATCTTTTGGAAAATCAACCATAGGATAAGAGAGTATATTTTGTAAGAGACTATTTTTATATAAATATTTTATTTATACTACGTCTGCTTGTTCAACCTGTACTTTTTCTCAAAACAGGCATACAATTTGTAATTCTTTGGCTATTTAACAGAGAAAGGCTAATTAGCTTGTGGACACAACAGCAGCAAGCTGGATACATTCAGCTGCAATTGGTGGATGTGTCAGAAAGCAGAATGAACTTTCTCTCCGGATGTGTGTACAAACTGGCTCTTTTCCTGCAGCTCAATCTGCAGAATATGCAAAACAAGAACATGGTATGTAGCATCAATTTTGTCACATGGCTTGAATTAATGATTGGTATTAACTGGATGCTCGCTTATCCCATTCAGGAAAAAAAGTCCGAATTAGCTTCCCACATGCATCAGTCATTAAACTCTGGCGTTATGACTAGCAAATGTGCTGTGTGTGCTGTCAGTTAAACCTCTATATTGTGTTACTGTCAAATTTGATTTTAATCAGTGGAAGACTGTAGACTGTGACTGTAAAAACTAGCGTGATACACATCGTCTGCTTCTCATAGATAGGATACAATGCTTACTTTTTGTCCAACTCTCTTTGGCATTTACATTATTCTTTCCTCCAAAAGGCTGGAGCTCAAAAACCCAAAAAAACACCTAGGCAAATTTAAAGACTGCTGTGTTGTTTTTCAGAGCCCAGTTAAACCTTCTTCTGTTCTCTTTATGGCATTTCCTTTTTCATCACTGTTCATTTCTCCAGATATAAGAGGAGCAAATATTTTTCTGCTTCTGGAAGCTTTCTGTTCCTCCTGCTGGATTCTTTTGTGGCTGATAAAAACAATCCAATTTTAATGTTTTTTTTTTTTTTTTTTTTTTTTTTTTTTTTTCTTCCCATTGGGTAGGAACGTGGCCCAGACTTACTGATAATGCTGATACTACAGGATCTCACACCTTTAGTGAGGCATCAGTAAGGGAAACAAACCAGTAGGCAGTATGCACTATATTCACTGATTCTTGTTAATAACAGCAAGTGTGGCAAGGAATAGGTGATACACATCTTGGCACCAATCCTCTTTCTAAGGCATAACTCCCATCTAAGACTGAAATGGGGAAAACTGTCAGAAAACTTTCTGAGACAGAAGTATCCAGAAGTACTTTAAGAGATGCACGGTTCCAGCAGGATAGCCTGGCCTTTCAGAAGCTGTCTGAATGTGATGTGGCTTTCTTTCAAACTCCCCTCTCACATATATATTCATGTAAGAACAAAAGCCCAAGCAGTTTCCTTGCAGTGCATAGCTGGAATTAAATATGGTTTTTGCAGACCTGCCACTTAACATGTCGTATAATTTTTTTGTTATTCAGACACCAGCGTGAAAGAGCTAGGTAAAATGATGACCATAACTTCTATTCAAACTTATGACTCGTCAATATAAAGCTATATAAAAGCAATTATTTTCATGGAATTTTCATGCTTTTCATTCTGAATTCCATGCATCGAGAATTGAGAAGGCATAAAATGTAATGAAGTATGGGTGTTAATTACAACGCTCCGTTATGGTGAAGTAGCTCAGATCTGATGTTTAACTTTGGAATCTCTTCTCCTTTGTTTGGATTTATTTTTACATTTTTTTTTACATTAGCAGATATCACATCCTCATCAGAAGTGTGTTTTCTTCACTGATTACAGCTATTTTACAAGTTGTTACTTTTGTGGCACGTTTTTCCATAGGAAAGCAACCCAAAAGTCTCCTGCTTCTTGTATATTTCAGTTTGCACTGACATGCAATGGACAGCCAGCAGGCTAATTCTTGAAGGACAAATGTCTTTAAACAGTTTTTCTCATATACTAAAGGAGTGCATAATTAAATGAATTCGGTACACTTTGCCCAACCGTTGGTTTTACAGTACTGCTGGTGATCTGTGCACTACTTAGAGAAAATTTCAATTTGACTGATAACTGCGATATCAGTTTGCAAAGTATGAATTAAAGATCAAGGAAAATCAAATGCATTCAACTAGAAAGTGTTTGAAAATTTTTTGGCAGTGTCCAATCCACTTAGATAAGGGAAATCTGGCCATCAGAATCCACTGTGTCTGGAGTTAATTGGCCATTCTCTAAATGTGCTTGAATGGCATAAAGAATAAACAGGAGAGCGAGAAAGATTTACGATCTTGTAGATATTTCTCCCCCCGACAACAGTTTGTTCTTTGTCCTCCGGGATAGAAGAGCTCTGTTTTGACTTGGTGAAGAACCACACAATGGGATTGAAATGCACACAACTGCAGAACAATACAGCCCTCAAAAGAAAATACATCTTTTCATCTGCACTAACCCAGGGAAGTGCTGGATTGCCATCCACATTGACAACCTAGCAGAGTTTTTAAGGAAAGCATACATTCAAGGAAGAGTAAGAGGAGCAGAAGGAGTAAGAGAGCAAACACAACTGCAAATAGGAAAGCTGTTATTTATGAAATATCACTTATTTGATACTAAAAGCCTGACTCATGGAAAAGATGCTACTCCACATTGGGATTTCTATACAGGTTTTAAGGATTTTACCTCAGTGCCTTTTAAAAGGACAACTAACCTGAATACAATTTGCTTGAGTACTTGAAATACCCACCTAAAACTCGTATTGGTCAGTAACTAAGATTTCTCTGCCATGCATGCACAAGCCTAATGGAAGTATGACTTTCAACAGAGAGAATTAAATGAAAAACATCCTGAAAATATACACTTACATGGCTCATTTGGTCAAGTTATTGTAAGGGTACACAGTTACTTAGAACAGGAAAGTAATGGACGTATACGATATTACACAAAGCTCTTAATGAATTACCTTGTGGATTATAACATTGTTTGTTACTGATCACACTCTAAAAGCAGTTTGTTGAATGCAGAATCACAGACTGCAGTCAGATGCACATATTCAAGTGAAGATTCCACATAAGTATTTCTGAGAAGGTATTTATGTTTACCATTACTATAGGTGTCCAGAGAGGTGCACTGTGAAAATGAGAACATTGACTATTATAGTCCTATAGTGCTACCCCCAGGAAGCTCAATCAAACAAGCCCTCCAGCTCTCTTTGGCAAAACAGCAGATGCAGTGTTAGATGTGCACAGACAGGGGTGGCCCAATCTAACTGATACTGCTGCTCTCAGCCAGCAGGGTATCACCTCAGTTGGGACATTACTGTTCCCAAACTGTACCAAACTGAACTGAGTACAGGAATTTTATCACACAGCAGAACTGCAAACAATGAACCTCTGCTTCATTCCAAAACATTCTTCCTCAATTCGTGGTTATCTTGGATAACTCTCACCATGAAAAGTGACGTAGTCTGCTAACCTAAGTTATGTTTTTGTGGTCAAAACCATACCAAGAATTCCTAAAAGGCAGGTGTTTTACTCTTGAACAAAAATTAAGGGAATTCTTCTTCTGGCAACAAACAATAACATATGATTAAGTCAAGATGAGAAGAGATCTAAAGGACCGAAGAGCGATACCAAAACTTGGTGATTCTCTTACCCAGCTCAGAAGACATGCTGTAAAACCTCTAAGTTTGGTGCTTTGGAGTTTTAGGAAAGTATGTTTTTTCCCTTTTGTTGTTACACATTAATGGATTCATTGGTAGCATGCAGTGCCATTGGCAACTAAGGGCGGCCACAAACAAGTCCCAGAGAAATCACACTTCTAAGGGCAGCCTGACTATTGCTGCTCTCAAGTACATCTTTTCTTCCTGTCAGCTATGTCACTGTATCAAACTCTTGTTAGGAAACATTTCTGCTCTGTAACTGGATTTGGTATCTCTGGGACAAGCTGAGATTATATTTACATCATACCTTATATATATATACTGAAGGAAATATTTCTAGGTTTGCATGCACAAAACCAAGAATCAAGGTAAAGAGGATGATATCAATATTCTATCAGCACCTGTGCTTATGAAGTCATAGCCAAGTTCTTTTCACGTGAAAATATAAAGTTAATTTTTGTGCTTCCTCTGCTAGCTTGCATCCTTTCTCTACACCAAAAAAATACGTTTTGTGTATCATACCAGATCCACAGTTAGTTTTGTGGCTTTTGATACAAGCAGTTCACTAGCAGTATGTCACCAACCTGATACTAGCAGCACATAAAACCTTGTGCACCTCTTCCTGATACTAATGAACAGACAATTTTCCTTGAGAACAACACACTATGCACAACTTTCTTGTACTGCAGTGCTTCACTGTCCTATTTTCCTGCCTGCCTACAGCATATATTTGTTACTTGTTATTTTATTCCCTCCCAGCACTTGGAGTTTTAGCTCTCTGTGGTGTTTATAAGCTCACTGATCCATGCCTGGTCCCTGATGACTTGTGCATCATGACTTTCTGTCTGTATGTGGGGATACAACACAATGGAGAAGCAGTACGATCAGCACCAAAACCATTGGTCCTCTCACAATGTACCTCTAGTTTTTCAGACCAAAACAAGAGATCTGGAATTGCTCTGCATCCAATACACCATGTCCCCCTAACTCATCATTTCAGTACTAAGCAGTTTGTCAGACAAGTATCACGGAGAGACACAATAACCTAGAATGATAAAGAAACTAATGTCCTATTGCAGATAGGGTGCAGCCTGGAAAAGCTTTGGAAAACAGAAGCAGCATTTAGGAAGGAAAATCCTTGAAAATTTCAGTGCATGAAGACTCATTACTGAGTGTAGCAGGGAAGGAAGGCTTAGCTGAATGGACAAATTTCAGCCCAAGCTAAGGCTGCTTAGTTGTTG